GTGTGAATTTTTGTTATCTCAGGGCCTTATGAGGGGAAGTTAGCAAATTCCAAGGAACAGATACTGGTTTCCAGGTTAGTACTTCATTTCCATGTTTAAGGGACTTCAGCATAATGCAATCGAAACTGGCCTGTCTAGGAGACTTTGGGTGACTATAGATTTACTTTTTCCCACTGAAAAGTCAAATAGAAAGTTTCAGTTTGGTTTCATGGAATTTTACATGGGCGACTACATTTTGGTTTGCCGTCTCGTCTGTTCCTGTTGGGGTCCAGTGAGAGAATTGAGTTAAAATAGTGGGCTCCTCTAGTTTGTATTTCACTGGAGACTGTTACTATGAATTTCCCAGAACCACTCCAGACGCAGGATGTGTGAGGCAGAGGTGATCTAGACTCCTCTGTCTCCCCAGTCTTCCTGAGCTCTAAGAATTGGTTAACTAGCAAGCACAATACAATGTCTATGAGATGGCTGAAAGTGGCCAGGGAGGCTTTACAGTGACTTCCTCCATGGTCCCTGCAGTGCTGCGCAATAGGCTTATGGGGTGTGCTGGGTAGTTCACGTCAACTTGACACAAGCTGAAGTCCTCTGAGAGGAGGGACCTCAATTGAGAACACCCTGCATGAGATCCACCAGTCTGTACTCCAGCCTGTAGGGTGTTTTCTTAATTAGTTATTGACTGGGAGGGCCCAGCCTATTGCAGGTGGCCCTGGGTTCTATAAGAGAGCAGGCTGAGAAAGCCATGGGGAGTAAGACAGTGAGCAGCATCCTCCATGCCTCTGCACCAGCTCCTCCTGCTGGACAGTAATGTGGAAGCCTAAGTCAAAAAAACAAAACAAAACAAAACAAAAAAAAAAAAAAAAAAAAAAAAAAAACCAACAACAAAAAAAAACCTTTCCTCTCCAAGTTGCTTTGGTCATGGTGTTTCACCACAGCATCCCTGTTTCATCTCTGACTAGGAAGCACGGATCTGGCTCCCGTGTCTTCAAAGCCTGCCGCTCACCATGCAGCTGCTTAGCACTGTGAGGCTTCTGTGTGTCCTGGGTCTGCTTGCTCCATGACCTTCTCACAGAGCTTTAGATCCATGCGATTTTGTAAAATGCAGATCCAAAGGCCTAGGGAGGGCCTGCGAACCCACACCTTTAACCTTTGCAGCCCATGTGCTTGGACCCAAGACCCCACTGAGGAGTCCAACCAGGTTGTTAGAATTACTGGGAACTTAAACTTCTATGCTTTGATTCCACTCTCAGAACTCTTGATTTAGTAGGTCTTGGGTGGAACTCAGGAAATTATTCTTTTAAATTCTGAGATACAGCCAAGAACCCTGCTATTTGGGGGAATATAACAGCAGTGGTTTACCTAAACACAGCAGCTCTTTCTAAACTGTGTTATGCAGACACATACTTTAGGTGAATGCTCCCAGTCCATCTTCAGAAGGGTCCTATGGATTCTTGTCAACATCATTGCCCTCCCTCATCATGGCTGCGAGACAGAGATGAGATTAGAACCTGTTCCCTGCTACAGATGCAGTGAGTGAAGGCAACCTTAAAGCCGGACTGCACATGAGAGACAGTATTGCCTCTTCCTCAAGCCTACACACCAAAGAGAGAGCAATCATCTATGTACTCGCTATGGCTAAAAACTCACAGAAAGCCAGGTGTGGTGGCACATACCTCTATTCCCAGCACTTGGGAGGCAGGGCAGGTGGATCTCTGAGTTTGAGGCCAGCCTTGTATACAGAGTGAGTTTCAGGACAGCCATGGTTACACAGGGACGCCCTGTCTAGGAAAAACAAAAGAAAACAAATCAAAGCAAAAAAAAAAAAAACATAAAAATTGAAATACTGAAATTTTGGTTGTGACTATCACCCACATTGGTAAAGTTCCAGAGAAAACTCAGGACAGATTGCGGTTTATAGCCCATGTCCAAGAAACTGGATGTGCTTATAAGTTTAGTTTCAGCTAATTTTTCAACTTAAATGATACTTAATTTTGACATTTTTATTGGAAAGTTCTCATAGGCTGGCTTAAAGTTTGCAAGCAGTTTGGCGGCCAAGAGCAGACTCTTGGGAGTGGAGGTGCCCAGAGCATATTAGCTCATGAGGCCTCAGAAGTGCTTACCAGAGGTCCTCCTGGCTTCCCACACCATCTTTTTATGGGTCTCACACATTTCCATCTAGTCCTTTTAAAAGTAACTTGGAAATAATTTTAAGGAAATCCCCACTCAAGAGTGAAAGGATTTGCATGCGCAGCAAGCTTCAGCCAGCAGAGGGCAGGCCTGGCCTGTCTTAGGGGGCTGTAGTTCTGGGCTGTGCCTCTCGGGATTGTCAGGGTTGCTCCACACTGCCTCCTGCAGGCAGCCCAGCATCAGTGTTGATGTACACTGGTGGCAGGGTTTTCAGAGGGTCTGTTCTCTCCAGCAGCACCTCACACACACTGGCCTCACTCTGACAGCCAACCAGGAGGCCCGAAAGAAGCCATGAGGGACATCCTAGAGGATTTGCCCTATCTTTGTATAATGTACACTGCGTGTCTCCCACCCCTATGAAACCTTGGCTTCTGAAATCACTTAGCATCACCAATAAGGACAGTTAAATTTCCCAGAAAAAAAAAAAAAAAAAGGATGTTACAGCTTCTCCTCCTCCTCCTTTTTAATGAGGGTCATTGTGTGCCCTTAGGGACACAGAGACTCAGAACACACTTTGTGGTGGTGCTCATTCCTGCTCACCCTAACCACAAACAGACTCCAGCCCTGTGCTCTCCCACATGGGCCCAGGAGACCATGGCACCTCGAGGGCATCTCTGCTGCCAGCTGCCATTTGAAAGAGCTGTTGTGCAGTAACCCTTTCTAAAAGCCAATCTTGTGAGTTAGAATTCTAGATGGTTCCCAAAACTTTAGCCCCAGTTTCCCATCTGCATCCAGTCAAGGTGGGCAGCATAGCCAATTGCAGTGTGGCCGGCCTTCCATTTTCATTTCCCAAATAGAAAACTATTTTAAGAAGATTTCCAGTCATCAGCTTTAGAAAATTTAGTTAGATGAATTGAATGAATCTGCAAGCTACCTTTAAATTTATTTCCAAATTTCCATGACTACTGAAGTCTTGTGTTTCCCTCCCATTCTGACAATATAGCCTAACTTGTATTTTCTTTTTTAGCTTGTCAAAATTCAATGACATTATTGCATGTTGATATTGTATATAAATTTAAAGAAAACATTAGTAATTTACAAAAGCTTTAAATAATACTTGGTATGTCTCACAAGGAAGTCAAATCAACAGCATATTAAAATGTTCTCAAAACAAAACTTTTGGTATCCTGTGTGTTCAGGAGCCATCTTAATGCCACAGGTATGATATCAGGGCCTTGATTTAGCACATGGCTTAGACCTTCCCCTGGCAGTGTGCATGTAGGACACATGAGAAGCACAGTCTATATCCCCAGCAGTCTCTAGACCCAAGGTGACAGCTAGGCTCCACTGTTTATTAGTCTGTGGACACAGAATAGTCAATTACTTAATTCCCTGTGCCTTCATTTTCATTTCCCCATCTATAAAATGGGGTCATGAGTAAAGGGACTTAATGTATAGGATGAGGTGAGTCAGCATTTGTGAAGCCCCTAGAAATACGCACACCGTGTGATACATATTGAGTGTCTTCTTTCATTGTCATATCACCTCACTTAATCTTTACTACAAGTTCTTGGGCAGGGAGGGCCAGCCAGTGTCATATCTTTGTGACCAGTGCAGTCACATGGGACCCAGCTAGGTTGAATTAATTCTCTGTTGCTGATATTTGGAATTGTTTTGTTGTTGATGTTTTCTTTTTTCTTTTTTATGCTTTCCTTATTTTTATTTTATGTGCATTGGTGCTTTGCCTGCATGTATTTTCTGTGGGAGGATGTTGGATTCCCTGGAGTTGGGAGTTACAGACAGTTGTGAGCTTCCATGTGGGTGCTGGGAATTGAGCCCAAATCCTCTGGAAGAGCAGCCAGTGCTCTTAACCACTGAGCAATCTCTCCAGCCCCAACTATCTTGGAATTCTTAACTCTGAACAAGGGCTGCCTCTCCGTTTCCCTGAGGCCCCTGCATATTGTTTTTTGGTTCACCAGGTGGTTGGTATTATTGTCTCTTACTGCTATTGTGGCTTTGGAGTTTTCACCTGTAAACTACAGAGTCGTTACTGGGGGAATGAAGAGGTCATGTGTACACAGTGGCAGCACCCACACACTTGCAGAATTGGGCCTATTACATCAGCTGCTGCTGAGCCTTATACACCAAGCAGCGCTTACATCCTTCTGGAAGTGCGCCCACGTGCAGACAGGCGAGGCTTCTGTGCACTAGGGATGCACTGAGGCCATAAACATTACCTCTGGCCATATTCAGGTAGAGCTGGGGAGTGAGAGCACAAGCTACGGTAGGAGAGGCCTCAACTGTCAGTCTTAGCACTCAGAGAACAAAGAGCAATCCAGATGCTGGATTCTGGCTTAGGCAGCACTGTGTGGCTGGAAAGCAGGTTCAGACACAGTGTTAAAGGTAGAGAAACACACTGGAAATGAGTAGAGCAAGGCATGGGACACACATCAATTCGAAGACTTGTTTGTAATAAACTTTACTAATTTCACAGGTATATTAATGGGGCAAGGTCCCTATATCATGAAGCAAAAGAAAAAGAAAAAAAATACCATGCAATTCCTTTACAACCTCTTGAGTTTTGATTGCTGTTTTTGATGCTAGTGAGACACTTAATATCTACACTAGCTATGTTGCAGGAAGAGGTGTGTGTGTGTGTGTGTGTGTGTGTGTGTGTGTGTGTGTAAGGATTTTGCGACAGGGTTTCTCTATGAACACTTCTGGATGTCCTGGAACTCACTCTGTAGACCAGGCTAGCCTTGAACTCAGACAGCCACCTGCCTTTGCCTCCCCAGTGCTGGGATTAAAGACATGCATCACCACCTCCCAATAGAAGTAAATATTTTTACAGACTTTCATATGTAACAGTTTTACTAGTAAAATTTGAAAATTAAATAAGTTACTTTATAATCACTCTAGAACATAGAATAAGAGTCTGTCTTTACAGAAGATCAAACATTGTAAAGAGCATTATGGAGTTTGTTCTGACAAACATATTAATGTACTCCTTCATCCAGTGTTTGCAGTTCAAACAAGCTGGTGAAAGCCCTGGTACGTACACACCACCCGACTGTGATCTTAAATCCATCCTCCAAACCTCAGCTTGTTGGGTAAGTACACTCTGGAAAGGTAGTCTGCCGATAGGAAGGTCAAAGCTTGGATCTCCGCCTTCATCTTAGAGTCTGCCATCATTTCCAGCTGCCAGAAGGTACCACAGTGTTACCAGTGTCCGTCAGGAACCACAAGCCTGCTAGAGCATCTAGGGTGTCTACTGGTCAGGATTGTCGGGTCAGGCCTCATGACTACTGAGCTATTGTTCTGAGACTTTTACGAGTTCTTTCTTTTTTATCCCATAAACTGTGACACCCTGACTGTTAACATGACATAACCACGTGCCGACTCTAGACGGAAATATATATAGGCCGGCATGAACTTAGAAGAGGTCCTATGTGGGGGAGGGAGGCTCCAATAGAGGAGGGGAGGGAGGGAGAACAGGAACAGATCATGGAGGAGAAGAGAAATGCTGCACATCTTTCGTACGAGTGGGCTCTAGGGGTAACATGTCATGTGGGTATGTGTGAAAGCAGAAGGGGCCATGTTGGGGTAGGAACGGCCCCTGCCAGCGGGGATGACCTGCAGCGGGGGTTGGGGGAGTAGGAGAGCTGCCACTACAATGAAAGGAACCCTCACAGCGTCTGCATTTACACGTTATAAACACACCATCTACCTCCTTTCTCCAGAAGGGCTGGTAGGTAATGTAAGGCCTCCTCAGGATACTGTCCAGTTTCATCTGGTCACGCTTTGTCAGTGGAATCAAACTACCCTTAGGTATATTTAACCTGGAAAAAATTGGAGTGATCAGTAAAAACAGACTGTTCCTGTATTTATGCCTGTACTTATGTTGTTATGTCGACAAGCTAAGAAAAACAAGCGAGAAAACCAGCCCAGTGCTCCTCCTCAATCTTAGCATCTGGGTCAGGAAGTTTTCCAAGTTCAAGGTAGAAGTTTGTGTTGTCACAGAAACAGATTCTGTCTTTTCTCCCCCTCCTCACCTTTGTGAGATGACAACAGACAGACAGACAGACACGGGTTGTTAAACAAAGCACTGGCGTCAGGTCCACTGAGCAGAGCTAGTGTAGACAAGCCCAGCTTTCTGCTCCTGCAGCTGTGTGCTCCAGCAGGAGTGCCCAGTGGCTGACAAGTAAAAATCAGGAAGTGACTGTCTACTAAGCCGTGAGGATACGGATCTCTTATTTTCTTCCTTGGATGCACACTTATCTAGTTTGGTCTGAAACATGCTTCTGAAGTCACAAGTCCAAGGCTTCCAGGTAAACTCTCATTTGGCTTTCCTCAGTGTCCCCGTAAATCCAAGCCTGTGCCAGCGGCTGTTCCTGGCTGGCTGACTGAAGGGGTCTAGTGTGTTCCTTGTAGCCTCTTTCCTTTGATCATGCATCTATCTGGAGAGTCTCTGAGGGCCCTGGAGTTCCTCCAAGACCTCTGTCTTAAAAGCCATCAGGCTCCTTGTCCCAAATCTGTGTTTGTGCAAAGAGGTCACTGTAAGGGATGGTGGCCATAACAAATAACTGCTTGGTTTAAATTCTGCTTCCTTCTCTGGAAGCATTCAAAACTCCAGGGGGAATGTTTCCTTCCTACCAAGTTCATAGCTTCATGTTCCTCATGTTTGGGAAATAAGCATTTACAGCCCACTGCCTCAGGAAATCACACACACACTCAAGTTCCTCTCACAGGGAAAGGAGAAGAGCAAGAGGGTATTTGAGGGGCTGGAGGGATGGCTCAGCCCTTAAGAGTGTATACTGCTCTTGCAGATGACCCAAGTTTAATTACAGCATCTGCACTGAATAGCTCACAACTGCCTGTCACTCCAGTTCAGGGATTCCAAGACTTCAGTCCTTTGTGAGTACCTGCACCCACATGTTCAAACCCCCCAGGACCTGCACATAATTAAATATTTTTACAACTATTTGAAAAGCAGTATCCCCCCCACCCCCCATAGTGAGGGCCAAGTGGCTCACTCTCCAGGGAGAACAAATAAAGGACGCTATGAAGGCAGGGAGAGACACACAAACACAGACACACAGACACACAGACACACAGACACAGACGCAGAGAGAGAGACTACGCAAAGATTCAGGTAAAGGCGTAGTCACCAGGGCTCTCTGACCTGCCTGTCACCTACAGTCTGGGCAGAACAGCTGTGAGGGATGGCCTGAGCACATGCTGGCACAAGGAGAGCTGAAATTCAGGAGCTGGAGCTGTTACCCTGAGGTCACAGGAGAGAACTGTATTCATTGGTAACAACAACAAAAACGATCACATTGTGTTGTAGGCACAAACCAGATGACAACGGACCAGAGGACATTGAGGTTTCTGGGGAGAGGTCATAGCTGTGGATAGAAAATCACCAGCCACCTAGGACTGTCCTGCCTCAAATGACCCTTGCCTTTAAGTGCTGGAAGTTCCCAAACTCTGATATTAAGATGTGATCACTCTATGAAGTTAGAACATTCAAGATCAGGAAAGAAATTTAATTCCATCCCAGGCCTCACACTTATTATCCATGTTTGTGAGGCAGAGCCTCACTCGGAAGTTCAGGCTGGCCTCCGGCTCAGTCCCCTGAGCACAGGATTTCAATATGTTGCCATGCCTCTCCATGCATTAACTAAATTCATTCAGTTTTTGTCTCTTGTTTTTTGAGACAGAGCCTCTTTATGTGGTAGTCCTGGCTGTCCTGGAACTCACTATAGAGACGAGGCTGGTCTCCCAAGTGCTGGGATTGAAGGCATGCCCAGACTTCATTAACTATATAACAGAAACCTCAAGAAATGTCCGTCATAACTATAGTCAGCAAGTGCTTTTGTAGCGGTGTCAGGCAAATCATACACACGGCAGTGAGATGTCTTACCTTTTAATATCAGAAGGGAGGAGACCAAGCCATCTGACAGCTGGGACAGTGAGGCTGTGGGCTTCGAAAGACATGGACTAGGATAAAGAGCAGAGCCGTGTCAGGTGAGCTGGGCAGGGCCCTGGCTTTCTGTTCTGGTAGCAGGGTGAGGTGGTCTGGACCACGGCCTTACTAATCTCTGGCCTACATGCACTTCCTCCCTCCCTGCTCTGCTGCCCTCTGCTATGAACTTGGCCAAGCTTTGGGCTAATTTGGAGATGCAGGATGAGCAGGATTTGTAGCTATACAGGGTTTCGAGAATGAGAGTTGGTCACTATCAGCTCCAGCGTGGACTTGATGCTACCCTTCTCTCATGCGGGAGTCACAGAGGCAAAGTCAAACCTGGTTGCTGCATGTGACACTTAGGGTCTATCTGATGCTCCTCAGGAGCAGATCAGACAGGATGGCTGTGCCTCTTGCATGCAGCTCATCCCTCTGTTACTTGTGGGTAGCTGTTCATGCTAGGGGCTGGGCTCATACCTCTGCAGCACTGATGGGCTCTGGAAGAGATCACCACTTCCCTGGGACACTCTGGAGAGCCTAGGCTTACTAGGGTATAAATACCCAGTGACTGTAAGGGGGTGGTGGAGAAGGGCAGACACACTTCCCTGTACTCACCATGGATCCGTACTTATAGATGCACATGATCTCGATGCCTGTTGAGAGTGAGCGTCAAGATTAGACTCAGATCACAGCTATGGAATCTCTACTCTCAAACTTCATCTAACATCTAAAATCTCAGTTTTGTGGACATTACCAGTGAAAAATTATGCTCTCAGTTTCATATGTTAAATATTGCCTTAAATGATTACAGCCTTAATTTGACTATATTAATAGTATCTTCAATTTATTTCGTTACTGATTACCATGCTGGAGGTTGAACCTAAAATGTGATTAGTCAAGTCCCATACCACTGAGCTCTCCCCTAGCCCAGACAATACATTGAGCAGATGTTCTAAGAGCAGAAAAACATAATCACAAGTATGACTTAGTCATGACTGTTGTCCCAAATAGTCCAGGAGAGATTACCATGGGGATCAGCATCTACCAATGTGAAAACAGGAATATGAAACGTGTCCCACAGCTTCTTCACCAGGAGCCTTGTGTTCAGATCTGGAATGCCCTTTCCCTGAAAGCAGAGAGTCAGGCATGTGGCCCCAGGAGGAGGGCCTGGGTACATTCTGCTCGTTTCATCAGCACTGACATGTGAGCCCCACCCTGACTTCTGGGGGGGGGGTCCAGTGCTGATGGTAAGGAAATGAGCAGTGTGCACCAAGAAGAACCATACATGTTCACACTCTGGCATCCAGAATGCCTGTTTGAAGTCCCCACCCACCCCACGGAGACATTTCTTCAGGAACAGAAAGCATAAAGGCCTACACACTTAAAGGTGTTCACACTGTGCTGTCTGAACTGGCAAAGAGAGGGCCAGTGACAGGGCTCAGCAGGTAAAGCCTGGTGACCTGAGTCCAATCTCTGGGACCCTCATGATGCCAGGAACGATGGCCCAGACATACAGATTGTCCTTCATCTTCTATATTGCCTCTTGCCTCTTTCACCTAAGCAACACCACTAGGCTTTCCTGCCATCACCCCAAGAGTCCATGCCAACACCACACCTGGACCCTCTCTCATGAGGACCTGAATGCTGTGTCTGTCCCGTGGCTCTGAGCGGTGGCGCCGCAGGAAGGTGTCACAGGTCATGTAGACCTCCACAATCACGAGTCACCAGTCCTCCAGTGCCCTTCGTTCTGTCCCGCCCTCCACCACACACACTGAGGTAAGTCCACACCTTACAAGAAGCCATCTGCCCCACAGGTTGCCACAATCACCCCCCTGAGAGCCTATCTTTTTGCTGTGGGACTTGCCAGGCCCACCAGGCTCCCCCAGCTGCCCTAACCTCCTCACGGGACTCTCTCCCGGCTATGCTAAGGCTGCACTCCTGGCCACTAAAACAAAGCACAGCACTGCAAACAGCTTTCTTCTCCAAGGAGCAGGTTTTCTACAGCTGTATAAAGGCATGCTGGGGAGAGAGCCTAGAAGAGGGACCCTGATCCACCCTCTCACTCAGCAGCCCCCTCTGCATGCCAGTTCCTGGCATTTTTCCTCACATTTCCATACCACAGGAAGCTATCTACCTTCAGTGGACCAATGCTTCTGTGTCTCATAAATTCCTGTCAGAGCACTACCCTTCAGTGTGAGGGCTCAGGAGCTGGGGCTTCAGCATAGAGAACAGACAGGTGGGTACCCCTGAATGGGATAAAAGCCCTTACGTAAGGGACCCCTGAAAGGCTCTCTCCTGTCTCTGTCTGGCTCTTCCCTCCCTGGTGAACACTCAATGAGAAGAAAGCTGCTTAGCAGCTAGGAAGTGGGCTGTGCTTATTAGCAGACAGAGAATCAGCTAACACACAGGTCTTGGCCCCAGGCTGCAGAACTTTGAGAGGTACACATGTGGCTTCATCCTCCCTGGCTGCGGCATTTCTGGGCTAGCTGTGGCTGGCCTTTTGCTGAGCCACCTGTAGTTCCACAGGTGTCACAGCACCACCTGTGTTCTTCACCGCCCCTGCACATGTGTGTTTGAAAAGGGAGAGCTCCTTTAGCATGACCCGCGAGGCGCATGGGATACAAACTCATGTGAAGGACGTCAAGCACGGTCAGCTGCCCACAGCCCTGGAGAAAATGCACCAGGAATGGGGGGGGGGGACACAGAAGAGCAAGAAAACAAAGCCTATTTGGGGTGTTTGCTGGTGTTTAAGAATAGAGACCCTCATCTGGACATGAGCTGGGTTTAGGGACACTTCTGCGCGGTGACTAGATGATGCATTCTATTGGACAGGGAGGGACACACGGTACACAGATGTTGGAACTCTTTCTCCAGGCACCACAGTGATAAAGTGAGGCAAATATCCTACCGTGACCATGATACATGGGGACATTCTGCTGCAGAAGTTGTCGTCCAGGAGCCGTTGAAAGGTTGCATCCTTCTCTACTATCAACAGGAACTTCGCATCTGTGATCAGATCTGTGGGGCTAAGGCTGAGAAACTACAGGCACAGCATCTGAGTTCAGTCACGGCTATGTTACAGTACTGCATACCTCGACTCAAAGGCAGCTACAGGGGAAAAGTTTTCATTTTACCTCCCAGTGTCTATATTTACCCAGGTATACAGGTGCCTGGCTCTACTTCACAGTGAGCTCCTGAGAGCCCTAGCGAGGGGCCTGTGGCTACTTGTCTCTACCGTCTAACTTGTTTGTTACACAACAGGAAGGCGAAGCTCTTTGAGAGAACATTCCAGTTTAAACAGATTTCTCACTGAAGGATACTCCGGATCCCTTGGATGTTAGAAGGCACAGCAGTAGCCTAAGTTAAAAAGAAAAAAACAAAACCAGGCAGTTTGTAAGTTAAATAGAAAGTAAGTGTAACTACACTTTATAACCCATTCCAACAATTGTATGCTTTCATTTTTCTTTGATGAGTAGTCTAGGGACTGTTACTCAGTGAGGAACAGACCAGCCCCTAGGGACATAAACACACTTGGCTTCCCCAGCAGGGAAGGTTGTGGAAGCTTTGCACAGCTGGCTTACACAGACAGGATGAAGGGAAATGTCCCAGTGCAGGACCTCAGCACTACCCTGTCCTGATGGGGGCATCAGCCCACCCACACCGCCAAGGGTTTGGGGAGGAAATGTGTTAATTTCAGAACCACACGGATTACGTAAATAGCCATGACAAAAAGGCCATGTCACACACTATTTGAAAATATCAGCACACTTTAAAAGTGAATATGTCTCTGTTTATTTCAGTATGACAATTAGCATGTTTGAAAGCTGTGTGCTTGGTATAGAACCCCATGAAGTACACATGTGTTCGCCCATCAATTTTATCTTAAAATCTCCGGGGCCAGTAAGATGGATCAGTGGGTAAAAGTACTTGCCACACAGGCCTGATGACCTGAGTTTGATCCCAGGAACCCACAGTGGAAGAGGGAGCAGTTTTTGAAAGTGGTCCTCTGACCTCCACACGTGTGCTGTGGCACACACGCACCTGTGAGCACACACACATCATACTCATATTCACACTATAAGAATCAACTGTTCAGTAAAGCAAGGAATGAGACCCACTTCAAATGGAGGGGTGTGGGGCACTGAGCAGCTGAGGAGGAAGGAAGGTGGCTCACCGTGGCACTACAGGCACACTGCACTCGGGTACCATCTTCCTCCATGTATCTCAAGTTGCCAGCAATCAACCCCTTGGATGTTGATAACTGGAAAGAATAACGTATTTGAAACCATCCCCATCAATATACTTGTTGCTACAAGCCTCTCCTCATGCTCACCTCTTAAGATATTATTTGTATTTTAGCTTAGATCAGGATCTGGGTAGAGATGGAGCAGAAAGCATGCAAGGGTATTTAGGAAATAAAACTATCTGAAAAGGTCCAAGGAACTTACTGGAAACAGACTAGGGTTATGTTGAGAAAATATCAAATGACAAGAAAGAGGGCAGGTACACTTTCCCCCAGAGGAGATCTTGCTGTGTGACCTGGCTGACCTGCCTGCCTCGGCCTCTGCTCTGGAACCAAGGGCAGCTACCCTTTCGTTGTGACAGGGTTTTGTACTTGGAGTGGCTCACCACATGCAGGCTCCTCCTGGGTACTTTCAGCATGCAGGAAATGTCATCTACAATATTGTCCACTGAAGTCTGATTCCCAAAGAGCTGGCTGTCAGTGTAGTATATGTCTCTATGGAAACGTGAGGCCACATTGTGAATGAGCCCCATGTCCTTGGACTGTGACAAGCACAGAGTACTACGTGGAGGACACTTACCACAAGAGACACAACATACAAGGAGATCTACTTATTGCCCAGGACCCAGGCTTCATGTCTTTTCAAAGCACATTTTAAAAGTTAACGGAGGCTAGAGGGATGGCTCAGCAGTAAGAGCACTGGCCGCTCTTCCAGAGGACCTGGGTTCAATTCCCGGTACCTGTATGGCTGCTAACAAATATCTGTAACTCCAGCTCCAAGGGAACTGACACCATCTTCTGGCTTCTTCACACACCAGGCGTGTGGTGAATAGGCACACATGTAGACAAAACACCCATACACATTAAATTTTAAAACAGTTAATTTAACTAAGTCTCACTTTGCATTTTTTGAGAATGAATTTGTCAGAACAGTATGTTTACCTCTTGGTTGCATAAGTGTTGGTCTGTACTAGTTTATAAATCATGGACAATATTTTCAGAATCAGAGCTGGAAAATAAGACATAAGAAACAATTTACCTCTCTTTCACTAATTTGAAAGATATTATCAAAAATTATAACTGTCCCCACTGTTTGTCTACAATGCTTTAAACATTATCTTTCCAAAAGAGAAGGGTTAGGTAAAGGATAATTATAAAATAAGGACTTTCTGGCTAACGAAACAGAGTAATTTCCCCTGAGCGTGAACCTAGAGCGTGCCTACTTTGGGTTGCAGTGAGCTCCCAGTGTTACTGACATCACAAGTCTAGAAATTTATTTATTTATTTTGGTTTGTTTGAGGCAGGGTTTTTCTGTGTAATAGCCCTAGCTGTCCTGGAACTCACTCTGTAGACCAGGCTGGCTTTGAAATCAGAGATCTGCCTGCCTCTGCCTTCCAAGTGCTGGGATTAAAGGCATGCACCACCACCCTTCAGCCTAGAAATTTATTTTAAGGACAAGTTATCTATTAAAGAATACTCAAAGATATCCAATTATGAACAGCTAAGCTCTAGAAATAATTAACTCATTTACTGTTGATTACTCAATGCCATGAAAGGTTAACTTACCAAATTTTTTAATTGATTTTGGTGAATCACTTCTGATTTTTCTTGTGCTACACTGAGGTATCATCTGAAGGCCGACAGAATCTTCAAACCTTCAAAACAAATGAACAAAATGAGGAAGACTTAATTCTTGGACATACACTTAGTATGAACTTTGCATATCATGTACATGGGTATGGAGGCCAGAGGTCGACCTTGAGAATTGTTCTGGAGTCAGGTACCACCTTCCTTGTTCTAGGAGACAATCTTTGTCTCATTGTCCTGGTGCTCAGGGATCACCGTAGGCTGGCTGGTCTGTGAGCACCAGGAGTCCACCCAGCTCCACATCTCCAGCCCTGGGATTATAGGCATATGCTGGAGTTGCTTTTATGAAGGTGCTGGGCAGCCTAACATGGCTGCTTCTGCTGTCCAGCAAGCACCTCAGCCACTCAGCCATCTCCCGTATTTCCTCTCTACGTGAACACTAGAGCTTAGGAACACTTGAAGGTTCAAATTGCTGCAGGTAGTTAAGGTGACTAGCGAAGGTCGGTGTGGTGTGTGTGTATCGATCTTTTGGGGGAAGACAGTGTGTATGGAATACTTACATATATTTTGCTATTATGTATTTTGCTTACTTTGTCATTATTCCTTCTCAGTTAATACTAATTTTTGAAATATTTTATTTCAATTTACCCACAAAGTGACATTGTGTGAACTATTGACATCAGTTTGTTAACAATAGCAGAGTGCACTAGGAAAATACACCATATAGTAGCTGCTTTGAAGCTATGTGAAATCCATCTTTCAAAACACATTGCCCAAGTATACATTTATGCTAATTATATCATCTTAAAATAATACTTACAAAGGATCTCCTCCAGTCCCATTCCTCTGTAACTCTGGCAAAGTCTGACTGTGTTTTGGTAGAAAAAGCTGTATAGAGTAAAAGGCTATGCCTTTGTCACGAGGCTGGAGAACTTGGATAAGACTGCCAGACCAGGACTGAGCATGTCAACCCTGACTGCAGCTGCCTGAGCAAGGCTTGCTCTTGAGGAGTGGAAGACAACCACACCAGGGTGTTTCCCAGTGCTGAGAAGTGTGTCTCTACACTTGCTCTTTTGAGCAAGGACAATCAGACTTTGAGCCATCCCCTCCCTCAGTGGGGTTCTAGCTAGCCCTTGTCTTGGCCTTATCTTTCACACTGACTCCAGTTCACACAGCCCTTCTGTGGGGCATGGATTTCATAAACCTGCTAATTCTCATGGGACAGGTAAAGGGGAGGAAGAGAATGACATATGACTGTAACTCTAAAGCAAACTGAAATAATAACAGAGAGTGCATTTTAAGATGGAACTGCAGGGACCAGGCATGGTGGCACATACACTCTTTTTCTGTATTTATTTATTTATTTTTTCAAGACAGGGTCTCTCTGTGTAGCCTTGGCTGTCCTAAAACTCGCTCTGTAGACCAGACTGGTCTTGAACTCACAGAGATCTACCTGCCTCTGCCTCCTGAGTGCTGGGATTAAAGATGTGCACCACCACTCCTCACCCGGCCTAGCACATATATTTAATACAAGTTCTAGGGAGTCAGAAGCAGGCAGATCTCTGAATTTGACGTTAGCCTGGTCTACACTGTGAGTTCCGGGCCAGCTGGGCATTATAGTGAGACCTTCTCTCAAATAAATAAATAAATAAATAAATAAATAAATAAATAAATAACAAAGCTTCAGGGGCTGGAGAGATGGCTGGGCAGTTAAGAGTGCTTGCTGCTCTTACACAGCACCCATATTAGGTGGCTCAAAGTGTCTATAACTCCAGCTCCAGGGCATCTGACATCTCCTTCTGGCTTCCATGGGCACCTGTATGCACACTCACGTACACACACACACACACACACACACACTTTTTAAAATGTAGAAATAAATTGCAGATGCCCACATCATGTTTTCCCAGCGCGATCTGTCGTCTATTGTGAAGGCAGGCACTTCATTTCTTGCCAAGCTTTTGACTATGTCTTGGATAATGTTTTCTATAGATGTAAGAACCTCAGAACTGAAACAATAAACACACTGTGATTTAATTTTATAGCAAGTAACATTTCCCAGATCAATACAACTTTTGTTTTCCCCAAGACAGGGTTTCTCTGTGTAACCCTGGCTGCCTTGGAACTTGATTTGTAGGCCAGCCTCAAACTCACAGAGATCTGTCTGCCTCTGTCACCCAAGTGCTGAGACTAAAGGTGTGTGCCACCACCTCCTGGCACAAATTCTTTATTTCAGTACATTTTTGTTGTTTTGTTTTGGTTTTGGAGACAAGGTCTCACAAGGTAGCCGAGGCTATCCTGGAACTCACTATGTAGTCCAGGATGTCATCAGACCCACAACCTTGCCTTCATCTCCTGAGTGCCAGAATTACAGGTGTTGACCACCGATGTTCTTTTCTTTTTCTTTTTCTTTCTTTTTTTTTTTATTAACCCTTGGGAATATATGCCCATAACCATCCATTTCTTTTACTAAACTCAGACAATTGTGCTTACAGTGGTTACTCTCAGAGAGCTTAGATTTGCCTGTAAAACTCATCTCTCAAATGACCCTTTTGCATTAATGATGAGCTAATGTAGCTTACAAATGCATTTTTATTTGCTCACATTAACTTACTTCAGTGACACTGAATTTCAATATAGACCTGGCTTGAAATACTGCTGTTAAATGTTTTAACTAAGGATGATGTGCACAGTCTTTGACACACACACATGCACGAATGCACCCACACACGCACACAAACAGCTGCTTGTAGCATACTGCCCTAACTGATCTCATACCTTAAAAATTAACCATTTTTAAATTTTAGTGATTCAAAAGGAAAAAAATTAATCGCTACCAGGAAAGGAATAAACTGTGAGTTCTGTACTAAATGACTGACTTGGCCACTGAAACAGGCCACTTCACCGTAAAATAAAAGGACTGAATCTAGTTTTCTGTCTGCTGGTTGTTAATTTCACAAACCATCAGCTTAAAAAAAAATGTCGATTTAAATAACTTTGGCATATTGTCTAGGAAGGGAAACCAAGTTAAACATAGAAGGTGGGCAAAATGTTGAGTTATAATGTCCTCAGAGTCTTCAATGTTTTCACTGAAAAAAAAAAAATCAGAAAATAGATATTAAAACACTTAGTATGTCTTAATATAGTAAAGACTAATGACTTGTTACTTTTTCAAAGCTTGCAATAGTTTGGGGAAAAATATAAGAAATTTAAGATATAATGAGATCAATCCACATCTTTGTTGTCAACAGGGACTCCTACCATCTCCTTCCTCTTTCCTCCTAAATTCTCTCAGAAACTAAATCCTTTTGTAAAATGTGTTTGCTTGTGGGGTTTTGGATAGCTGGTTTGGGCTTAAAAATAATGTGTTTAAGATACAAACTGGTGGGTGATAAACAAGAAAAAAACGAGAAAGGAAAACTGTGAATCATATAAATGCATTTTTCTGTAGTTAATTCCACCTTGGGTGGTAGGAAAGTAGTTAATTTTAAATAAATCACTTAAAATACATTCCTCGGTTCCCTACAGGTCAAAAAAAAAAAGTCTTATCATAAATCACTTAAAAGGTCGCTGTATCTGAGAAACCCCCTAGTTTGGAGAGTTTTACATTTTCCTCTTTCTTCTTATTCCTCACCAAAAAACAAAAACAACAACAAAAAAACTTATAATTTCATAATTTGTTTCGCTTTCATATTCGAGACAGGGTCTCTTTGTACACCAGGCCTGGCTGTCCCGGAATTCACTCTGTAGCCCAGGCTGGCCTCACACTCACAGCGATCCTCCTGCCTCTGCCTCCCCAGTGCTGGGATCAAAGGCGTGCGCCACCATGCCTGGCTTTCATAATTATCTCTATAAATAAATAAATAAATAAATAAACAAACAAATAAATAAATAAATAAAACGTAAGGCCAAATATAATGTCAGACTCCCTGACTAGAAAGGACACTGAGAAACCCATGCACTGGGGTGGGGGTGGGGGATGCTCCTGGAACATTCTAGAACACAGCTGGTGTGTCCCGGAAGTGGTCGGCGGGTTGGGTTTGTCCTCTTTGTTTTGTTTTAAATGTAAGGAGGGCTGAGGGCCGGGCGTGGCGGGCGCTCTCCTCACACCGCCCGCCTTCGCCTCCCCCCGCCCGCCGCCTCTGTACCTAGAGGCCGGCCGGCTGGCCCCGGCGGGGCTCTGCCCCGCGCCTCTCCGCACCGCGGCCAACAGGGAAGCCCTGTGCCGCTCCACGGCGTCGAAGAGCGAGGCCTCGGGCCCCGCGGGCGCGAACGCCATGATGATGATGATGACTCTTCCCGCGCGCTGGCCACGCGCATGCGCGCCGCACCACGCAGCGCCGGGGCAGAGTGCGCAGGCGCGCGGGCCTTTGCGGAGCCTGGGAGGGTGTGGAGCTCCCGCTGCAGATCTGGCTGGCGGCGACCACCCGTGGGCCCGAGGTTTCCTTGGCCGGATCACTCAGGGGGCAATGGCATCTGCGAACCCCTTTGTGGGAGTCATTTTGGGGAAATAATAGCTGTGACTTTTCACGGGGACGGCCCCGGACATGGGGGTATGGTATGGGTGAAAGGGGTCTTGCCTGCTTTGATGGAAGCCTGGCTTCCTGCCTCTGCCTCCCGAGAGCTGGGATTAAAGGTTTTACTATCGTCCGAATAATGTTTGGGACTTGCTTTTATTCAAAAAGTTGTTGCTGGGGCTGGAGACAAAGCTAGGCAGTTAAGAACCTTGATGCACCAAGGCCAAGTTTCAGCTCTTAGAACCCACCAGCTGACTCAAAACTGCCTGTAACTCCAGTTCCATGGGACCTCATGGCTTCTGGCCTCTGTGGTACATGCACATAGAGAAATAGAAATAATTTTTGAAAAACGACTCATTTAAAATACAAAATAAGGTATTTATCTGAAAGTGGTTTCCTTCCTAAGGATTTAGAGAGTGGATATGGCTTGCTCTCCTTGCAGACTGGGTTAGCCATTTCTTGCTCTGTTCTCTCTGAGCTTTCTAGAACAGAAGGCAGATTTCCGAGGCCTTGGGAACGGCCCCTTGACGGGATGCTGGGATCGGACCCCAGAGCCGGCTGACTACTGGCTCCACGAGCTGGTTTTGTTAGTTTCAAACTAGTTTCTGAGCAGAAACAATAGACTCTTCTTGTCCAGTGACAACCGCCCACGTGCATGTGTCGCTGTGCACAAGTCTTGTGTTAGGGCCTTTGGTCATTGTTATCACAGTGCTTGCTTCCTGTGGCCTCCTGTGTTAAGCTGTGCCACTTACTGAGGAATGGGATTGCAAGGTCTCGACCCTCAGGGAGCTCACAGTCCGGGGAGAAGCAGGGATTGAGTGTAGACAGGTGAACCCGCAGTTAAGTTGGAGAAAGAGAAAGGTACACTTAAAATGCGTCAGAATCCCAGAAGGGAAAGTCATCCTCTTTTTCAGGCTCATAGATGCTGAAGTGTATGTGCAAGTTTGGGCCACCAGTAGGTAGGTGGAGTTTCAAACCAAGAGGGAGATCCTGATGCCAGGTTCATATCAGATCCATAGGAACTTCCAGGGATCTGGCTCAGAGTGGATCCGAACTTTATAAACAGGGTTCTTCTTGGCAGAATTAGCCCTTTGGCCTGGGTGGTGGGTTTTTTTTGTTTTTTTTGTTTTTTTTTTATTTTACTTCCAGATGAGAGCCCTGTCTCTATCACCCTCAGAGAGGAGCCAGCCAGCATAAAAATCCTGGAGGAAGGAGGGAGGCTAGTCTCTCCAGGGCTACACTCACTCCTGATCCCTGGGTTTGGTTCATTGGAGATAAACATTCATCACTTAGTATACACACACACACACACACACACACACACACACAGACAGAGACAGAGACAGAGACAGACTGCCTCTCTCCCTGGGACAGACAGGGAAAGGTCCTGAGGTGGGTGGAGCCCGCAGATGAACAAAGCCATCTGAACCTGCAGTTCCTCGGAGAGAGACTCAAGACTCAAGATGCCTGGCAGGGGTTCCCACCTAGACAGACAAAGGTGAGGGGGAGGGAGGAGTATTCTGCCCTCAGCTGCTTCCGCCTCTGCCCTGCAGGCATCCTGCCTCGTTCTGGGGTGAGTAGCCAAGTGCTGTGAGCCTGCCACAGCTGCTTACAACACCTGCACATCAAAGGCGGCTTCCCGGCCCCATGCCGGGAGACAGAACCAGAAAAACACATTCTGCTCCAAGCAAGCTGCGGCCGGCCAGGGTGGCTGGCAAAGGCTAGCCGCAGCTTTTCCTGGGCTGATTCCTTTTCATCCTGTGGCCCCCTGAGCATTTACCAGACTCTGTTGGGAAGGTGTCTTAGTTTCTTTTTTGGTTGCTACAACAAAACACCCCACAGAGGCAACTTAAGGGAGAAAGGGTAGTTGGAGTCAGTGACAGAAACTCTATAGATGACTGGAGGAACCCTGGAGGAAGCTGGTCACGTGACACCTGCATCATGTGACACCTGCAATCAGGTGTCAGGGATGAATGTGTGGTTAACTCACTTTGTCCAACCCAGGAACCCCTGCCCAGAGAGTGGCCCAGTCCAGTTGAAAAGGATCTTCCTCAATTAAAGCCTCAATTAAAACAATTACCCACTGGAGCTGGAGAGATGGCTCCGCCCATGCTCTGTGGTTAAGAGCACTGGCTTCTCTTCCAGAGGACTGGGTTTGATTCCCAGCACCCACATGGCAGCTCACAGCCACTTGTAACTCCAGTTCTGGAAGATCCAGTGTCCTCTTCCTGCCCCTGTGGGCACCAGGCACCCAAAATGGTGCACATACATACATGCAGTCAAAACACACATGCACATAAAATAAATAAGTGGATGAATAAACAGATGTTTCAAAAAGATAACTCCCCATAGACATGCTCAGAGGTATAATCCCCAATAGGCATGGCCAGAGGTGTGTGTGTCTCCCAGATGATCCTAGATCTTGTCAAGTTGACAGGTCCCCAGAGCTTAGTAGTCCCTGAGACCTTAGCACAGCTGACTCCATGGTGGAAGCACTATTCATGCTGTAAAACTGAGCATATGAAGAGCACCACCTACCAAAACTAACACAAAGGCCCAATCCATCAAGTCCATAGTTCTGGGAAAGTCTCT